CTTTTGTTTTTTTGAATGTCCAGAGGACCAGATTGAACTTTTTTGGATTTTTCTACCTGGATTATTGAGCATGCATCAGGATGTTATTGATTATTGTCAAATTTCAAACAATATTATCGTTTATCGCAATATTTTCTGAGACAATCGCTCAGCAAAATGTGTTGTCGTGACGAGCCTACTGAACGACTTCCCTATTATTTGCTTTAATATGTTTCCCTTCCTTTTCTTCTTTTTTTGGGGTTAGGTTGGAGATTTTGGCGACACCAACAGTTGGCCGACTCCAGGAGAGATTGCAACCAAAGACATGCAGGTAAGTGTTGCTCATCAGTCACGGGTCAGTTTGGGGCATTCATTTGTTTAGTCTCGTTGTTCCACATCCAGCTTGGATTTTTGTCACGTTCTAAAAGATTGTATGACAAAATTGCATGAAGTTGCCACAAGGTTTCTCCTTAACTTCTTCTTAAGTCCAAACACAACAAACAGAGCGACTGTGAGACTAAAAGTTCTTGTTTTAAATGAAACTCTAGAGTTAGCTCTGAGAAATTCAACAAATACTAACTTTATTTAGAACATGTCCTAGATGTTGTTCATAAAATTGCTCTGTCAGCTAAAACTAAAGGCTGGTCATTTTGATCCTTTTTTTAATCAAAAAAAAAAAATAAAACCATCAGACAAAATGTTTCAAAGTGTTGAAGTATTAAAATAAGAAGCGTGAGGAAAATGAATAACTTGTAGCAAATGTGTTTTGACAGTTTAGTTTGTTTTAGGTGTGATATAAATCAATATTTCGTGTCTTCGGGGTATGAATCTTTGATGGCATGGCCGTTTCATTGATGAGTTTCTAATGAGAGAAGTCGACCTCATCTTCAGGAAAGAAAACTCTTCAGTCCCGGGATGAATGAGACTTAGAAGCAGAAATGATTCCTAATGAATTCTAAAACGTTTATCAGGAAAAAAAAGGGTTTTATTTAAGAAATGCTTCAAGTTTCAAGTAACGTTGAGCAGCCTGCGCCTGCGGTGGGTAAGTGTAGTTTTGATGCATGAAGTATTTCAGTTTGTTGCTGTAATTATACAGCAGATTAAAACGGCACATCCAGGCCACGCAAACCCTACCTGCTGGCCCGACTCCGTGTCCCCAGAACTCTGTCCCTTTTCCAACAATGTTCAGTCAGGTCATCTGGATGGTTTTTTTTTTTTTTCCTGAGACGTTTCGTCTTTCATCCAAAGGACTTCTTCAGTCCGAGGAGCGAAGCTACAGTCACTGTACATCGGACAAACTGTGCCGGTTTCCTGAAGTCCATCTTCCAGACTCAACTCGCTGCGACTCTACTCTGCCTCGATGTGGGCGGGGTTTACATAGTGCGCCCGACATAAACTCTAGGGCTGTACAATATTATCTGCATGGTATCAGTATCGGCCGACATTAACGTTAAAGTTCAATATCGGACATCGGCCATTCCATTAAAATAACTCGCAGATATAAAAGGTGCTGTCTTTGCCTGCAGCGGCAGCACAACGCGATGACGTCACGCGCGCCTACCTGATCTCACGGCAGAGAGGAAAATTCAAACTGTCGGCGGTGTGGAAGTTTTATTTTTCGTTGGTGAGGATGTCGGACTCTAAAGATTTGTGGACTGTTGAGCCTATCGTCCGCAGTCTGAGATATTTTTCCGACGTAACCTTATCCGAGTTACAAGCCGTCATTTCTACGTCATTGAGAAGCTAATAGCCGATAGCACGACTTGTTGGTGAGTTTAACCACAGACATTTGGACGTCGTGTTAGCCCCGTTAGCATGATTAGTCTTACAGCACAATGGATAGACAAAAACTTTGGACTTAAAAAGGCTGTCCTTGATGCACAGGAGTGCAGAGGATCCCACACTGCAGCTATAGGAACCTGGAACAAGCCTCCACAAGTGAGACAGCCTCACAGGTGACTAATGCTAATAAATAACATTTAACACTTTTCATTTAATCTACATTAAAGTGCTATGCACATGACTGTTACTGAATATATGTCACCAGCTCTTACAGCTGTTGCACAAATTTTGTAGCATATAAGCCTAAATAAGAGGGCTATGTTCTGACAATAAATTATATAAAATATCTGTATCGGCCGAATAAGTTTTAACAAATCAGCATATTGGATATTGGCCAAAAATCCAATATAGTGTCTCCCTAATAATTATATATATATTTTAAATTCAAGGCAAATACAACACCGCGATGAGCAAATAAATATAACAACTTGGCAAAACACTCATAGTCCTCCGCCTTAGTTTTCAAAAATGGCCGACGAGGCCAACTTCGAGTCCGTTTGGTCCAACTGTCTGAATTCTGTCATAAGCTAAAATTACACCTGTATCTGTGAATCTTTTCTGACAAACTGAGCAAAACAACATTTTGCTCAGTTTGTCAGAAAAGACATTTTAAGTTTTTTTTGTTGTTGTTTTTTTTAACGTCTAAAAAAGGTTTTTACATTTAACGTTTTCTGTGAAGTAAACATCGGGCAAGAAAGAGGTAGATTTATCGTTTGAGCTACAAAAGCAAACGTAAAACAGAAACCAGGCTTTGTCTTTTATTTTCACTTTGCTTGCAGAGAAGCTTCAGTCCAGATGAGTCCAGCTCAGATGTCCATAGCACCCCCCCCCCCCTTACATAACCATATCTTGAGCGACCCTACAGCTGTCAATCAAATCGAGTAAATCTTTGATTTGTGTCCTCTTACAGTCGCTGCAGATGGTAAATTCTCAGAGGTGCTTTTTACGCTCTTTAACAAAGTTGTCGAGCGACCCTGGCTGCTTCCTCTGAGTGAAAGCAGCCGAGGGGGCGCAGGTCCTGAGCAGGAAAACGAGGATCGTGTCATCCGGGCCAGGAATAACCTGCAGGTCCGGTGGCACAAATCAAACGTAGGAGGCGTTAGAGTTTGGGGATATTGGCCAAGGGCTGGGCGAGGTTGTCCTTTTAGGGATCCCCTTCATAAAGAAACCCCAGCTGGATCCGCTCTGCTGCTATTCTTAGTTCTGGTGGAGCTCACCGTCCCTGACGCCACATTCAGAGCCATAAATCAGTTTGCGAGTTCCACCGATGATGAGAAATGAGCTCTGAAATTTGATAAAGGCGTTTTTTTTCTTTACGGAGCGCTCAGCAGAAATCGTTGCTGCAGCTTCTCCAGAGATTTGACTCAACAAAGTGTCCTGATGGATATGTTCTAACTTTTGGATCGACGCTTTAGTCTCGTTTGAAGCTGAAACGCTGCAACACAACTTGGATTGATTTTTAGCTGCATCCCTTTTCTTAAAATGCCACTTTGCAGAAAAGTTGCAGTTCGTTAATCATTTAAAATCAATTTAAGCATAAACTAAAATCAACCCAGAAATCATTCAACACGGTCACTTTCCTTATTTATGTCAGCAAATTATAAATGAAGATATGTTCAAATATTTTCAATCTGGTACCATCATAAAAATGTCAGCTTATTTTTCTTTCAGCTGAATATTTTTGTATTTAGACAATATATTTAAAACATAGTCGACAAAAATGAAAAATCTAGTCATCCTTGGAAACCCGTGGTTTTTTCCTTACACTAATATTTTGTTTTATTCACTATCAGTTAGATATATTTGTAAATGGATAATTTTATTAAGTGTTTATAACCAGCTTTCTTCTCCAAACTAAGAACGTACCTAATTAATGCGTCATTTTGATCGGATAGTTTTGTTTCAGTCTTGTTAGATACAAATTCAAACAAATAAATAAAAATCTAAAAACTTGCAAGCGATTCTTTTTTCTAGCTCTATTTTTTGGCCAAAAGCAAAGTTTTATTTGGAGATCAGTTGACAGTGAAAACACTCAGCAGCTTTAAACATGTCATTTAAAATAAAAAACAATGAGTTTTAAGTACCGTAATTGCCGGTCTATAGAGTGCACCTGAATATAAGACGCGCACACTAAATTAAAAACAAACAAAACAATTTGTAAGCTGCAACTGTGTTTAAGCTGCAAGTGTTCACGTTGTAACATGAGTGGCAGCACACAGCTACGGAGAAATTACAACTCACGTTGCAGATTAAGATTCATCCACCACTTGGCATTTTATAGACTTTATTTTCCTGTTCAACACAGACCGTGTACCCCACGTGTCTTACTAACATCTACCTCTCACTCATGGTTACTCTACTAAATGACTAACACAAACTAACATGTAATGAACACATAAACTAGGCTAAGAACACACTAATCACTAAAAGAACAATGCTGAACAGCTAGCCGAAATGATTAGCAATGAGCATAAATTTTACGCATAATCCCTCCCTGAGGCCATGTGACCAGCGGTCGACCACAATGAACCAATGAGGTCGTCTCATTGAGTCACGGGGACCCACCCACCTGAAGAGACACGTGTATTGATGAGACTAACTGTATAAAGTTAAATTTTTATTCTTTTTTTAAATCTGACCAATGTAATTACCTAACAGGTCACAGCGGAACCAATGAAACGGGGAGGGGAGGAGCAAACGGGGAGGTGCAGAGCAAGTGCTCCGTGGAGGGGGGATGATATGGCCAAAACTTTTATCGCAATATATTTCTTAATTTCCGACGATAACGATATAATTCAATATCGATATCAAAGAAAAACTGTACAAATAAATTAAATATGCACCTTTTGTTTGTTTTTAGCCTTAAAAAGAAATTTTGAAATCGCCGTCAAATAAACATAAAACTCTCAACTTTGTCAATATTAATAGTTTTAACTTTAAATAACAACATAACCTAACCCATGCAGCAAACTGGGTTTCTCTTTTGATACAGCTGGGCGTGTTGTTTCAGGGACACACGTCGGCTCAGACTTTTATTGTGCTTCATCTTCTGACTCAGCGTATTCTATCGAGTGGAACAAGTTAAATGTGTTCCCACCGCTAGCCAGAACGAGACTCCGTCATATTTTGCAGCACACTGACGGAGACCTGCAGTTTATTGGATCTTAAGATAGCCGAACCACTTCCACACCGCCAAATTAGTCCTTTCTCTCATCAATTATTTCATCTGCTTTCTCTTCGCTTGTGAAAGCTTGTTCAGTCACATTCTGATGGTCATGGGAACTCATTTTGAAGAGAAAACTTAAACGTGCATTGGAGATTAGCCTAGCCCGCTACCGCTAACGCCCTCTGGACTCGAGCTCTGCGTAACATCTACATCATCACGCACTTATGTAATCGTGTTGCACCTTTTTCTGTTTGTGTTGAAACTAAAGCAGCCGCTTCAACCCGAACAGGAAAAGAAACGCGTCAGTGAAACGCCGTAATCGAAATATCGAGAATGTGCCTAAAACTCATATCACCGTTACTGAATAAAAGTATATCGTGACATATATCGATATGAAGTTTTTGTCCAGTCCTAATGTGAGCGCCCGAGTGTGACGAGGCTAAATGTTTTTGGCGTCAGGAAGTTCGTTAGCCCGTCCCAAAAACAAATCCATAAATTAGCCGCAGCATTGTATGAGCCGCGGGGTTCAAAGCTCGCGGAAAAAAGTAGCGGCTTATACACCGGAAAGTACGGTACATGTTTATTTCTTTTTATTATTATTATTATTTTTTAATGCTGGGGCAACAGTTGTGCATTCTGAATCCTATCACACAAAATAATATACTTCTTAAAATAAATATTGTAAACGGTTTTATTTTACACATTTAACGTTTTACAGCTTTAGAGGGAGAAAACATTAAAAGTTGCCATCTTTCTTTTCTAGTTTATTTATTTATAAATTGTTGACTTTTAATGCTTTAAAACGGGTGTTTTAAGATTTCATAATGAGTTTATTTTAATGAATCGGTGAGCGTGTTCTTACCTGCCTTGTGCATGAACAAGGTAAGTAGAACGGTTCGTTCTGTGCAGAAACGTCCAGTTTTTGTTTCGACTCCTCCGTCACGTTTTGCTTCAATTAACAGTGAAGCACCGTCTTCTGTACACCAGAGCTGCAGGTCGTGATCGTTTCTGTTTAACGTCACATTTTGAACTTGAACTGGCAGAAATGTTAGGACCCACACACTAAAAGGCATCACTTTCAACTTTCTCAGGATGAGACGTCTCGGCCGTCTTCAGTCACCGGTGGACGCTGTGACGAGCAGTTTGTGTGTCATTAGGAAATCAGAAACATAATAAACAGTTTTCTTCATTTCTCAGCACATGGTTTGGTCTGTGCTGGTATTATGGTATTTTATAATCAATGATTAACTACAGCAATGTCTTTTTTTTTTTTTTTTGCTGTTGCAAGAATGACTCAGCATTCTGGGATCTTAGTTGGTCTGTTATGTCTGCAGCCTTTCCACCGCCCTATTAATTCAAATTTAACTTCTGTCTGTGCTAAAACCCATCTAATTTCGATTTATGCAGAATTTACTATTAAAATGTTGCACTTCTTTGTTTTAGTAACACGTCGTGCCACTACTGAGATGACTTTTTGTTGTTGTTCACCCACAGGGAGCTCTGTCGACCGTTAGGTGAAGCTGCTGCTTCTGGTTATTTACAGCTTGTGCAACTGTCTCGAACGTTTTCTGTGTTTTATGAAAACAGGAAGAAGCGTAATGCGTCGGGTTGCTGGAGCAGAAGGCGACGCAGAAAAGCCTTTAGAGAGACGATAATTGTGTGTTTTTACTCTGACGCAGAGCAAGAACTGCTTGTTTATAGCAGGAGGAAGGTGCTCGTCTCCGGAGAACTGACTTCACGTTTTTGTTTTTTTAGCTGCTGAGCTGCAGAGCGTTTCCTACATGTTCTCTGTGTGTTTTCATCATGATTCACTACATTGTCCTCTCTAAACTGCTCTTCCCTCCCTCTGTTCAGATGGAGGCAGTGACACGGCCCGTGTCCTGCCCGTCGACTCACAGGCAGGTCAGAGACTCGTGGAGAAGCAGCGTAAGTTCAACCTGCAGCACATGAAACGTGCAGCCTGCCAACCTGCTAACATTCTGTCTGACGCGTTCATCTAAACACTGCAAATTCAACAGAAATGCGTTTACTGAATAAATTGGCTTGATTTTTTTTTTTATGTTGTGGTAAAACATGTGCTATGTTGCTTTTGTTAGAACGCAGGAGTTTTTAAGGGTTATTATTGACTTTGAGCATTCAAACTGCAGCAAATGGAAAATGTTCTTCCTTGTTGTCGTTTACTCCACTCTGTCCCTACTAACCAGACAAGATGTTGAATGCAGATTTTTTTAAAATTCCTTTAGGTTGAAGCCAGGGCTTAATTTGTAAATGGATCAATGCCGGAACGCAAATGACAAATGTTTGGTGCAGGGGGTCTGGAGTCCTCCTGCAGAATATTTTAAATAAAATAGATGTGATTTCCTGCGTTTTGGTGTATTTTAACGGGTTGTTAAACATCTACCTTTACTTACATTTGTAAACACTCCGCTTCTGTCAAGCATCCTACCCCCCTCCACCTTCCTTGACGGTTCCGAGCCGACTCTTCTCCACTGAATTCACTGTTCGACTCCACATGTGAAACCTCCAGGCGCCTTCTCTGTCTCTTCATGGCGGCTGCCTGTGGGCTCCTGCCTGGTTAGCTCGGCACTCACCCCCACCACTCTTTTAGGGACAGAGATTTTATTAAGGGTAGGCGGAAATGCTTACCGTTTTTTCTGACTATAAGGCGCAATACCAATGAACGGGTCAGGTCCGTTTTCATACATAAGGCGCACTGAGTTATAAGCGAAACAAAACGTATAAGTCAAACTTTATTCAACACATTCACAATAACTCCATAAAATCAGTTCGAGGTCAGTAAGCACAACCAGTTAATATTTGCAGTGCGCCTTAAAGTCAGAAAAATACGGTACTTGAAGATGCAGCTCGTATGCGATATTAAGAAGCCGTAAGTGGCTGTTGTGTTTAAAATGAGTGTTTATGTAATTATTTTCAGTTTACATATCCAGTATAAGTTTTATTTGTTCAAGGCAGTCATATTTGTTCATAACTTTATTATTAGTATGCCTGAGAGTTACCGGATCCAAGCAAACAGTTCCTGGAACGCACCCCGTCAAAATAAGAGCGTTCCCAGATCCTGTTCCAGCAGGATCTGTCTCAGATTAAGCCCTGGATGAATCTGTGAAAAGATGGTTCACTGTATTATTGTCGGCCTTGATGGAGCCGTTTCTGCCCGTGGTTAACTTGTGTAATTATATTTAAGCAGATTTAAACATTTTCCTGGTTTGCTTTTTGTACAGAATAAATTCGAACGGGTTTTATTTGGTGGTGGTTCATTTAGAAACCTAATGACTTAAACTGGCCACCTCTAAGATGCTTCTAAAACATCAGACTTTTATTCAATTTATACCATACCACTTTATTTATAGAGCACTTAAAACAGCTACAAGGCCAACCAAAGTGCTGTACAGACAAAACAACAGGTAACACACAAAGCAAAATACAAAATGAGGTAAATCAGAATATAGACGTAAAAACGATGCAGATAATGACGACAAACCAGTGTGGAGCATACAGGATCAAAACACAGATCATCTGGTGATGAAAGGAGCCTTGAATATTGAATATTGCCTTTATCAGCCCTGGATCCAAAGAGTATCCATAAGCTTCAGCATTTATCCCCTAACAATGTACACAAGTCTTGTTACCAAGTGTAAGTTGCAATGAACTGCACAGCTTTATTTGCTGTGGAATTAAACTACGACATTATTCTGCGTGATCTTTGTCAATTTGGCTGCTACCAAATGCAGATGCCAAAAAGAGGGCTGAAAATAATGTAACAGTTCAACTTTGGTTATGTTTAAAGTCAAATTTATTCATGACATTTACTCTTAACACAATGACGCCACTCGAACAGTGCAAATTTGTACATTTTCACAAATTAAACTCAACGGCGCACGTGACATCATAATGTGCTGGTGCTACAGGCATCCTTGTCACTGGGTTGTCATACAAAAACGGCACCTTTTAATAAATATATATGAACAGCACCTTTTATATCGGTGAGTTATTTTGATGGAATGGCCGATAACATGCCGATAATATCGTGCATCCCTTAAACAAAAATTGATTTGGGCCATTTTTGTCTGCAGTGTAAACGTAGCTAGGTTACATGCAGATAAGTGTTTCAGCTGTATTTTACCAAGAGAAACTTTAAGAGCCAAACACGCCAGAACGTTAACATGATAAATGCATTAAAAAAAACAAACGCTCAAATTGAATTAAAAAAACGTGTTTTCACGTGTTTCACTTATTGTGAATATTGATTTGATCGATCTTCTACAATCTGAATTAAACGACAGACAAAAAAAAAGTTCTTTATTTAAAGAAGCATCTTTATTTAAAAGCATCATTAGTGTATAAACCTCAATAGAATTAGTCATTGTTTGTTGGCACACAGCTTTAGTCTGGGTGAGTCCTTCTTTCTGTATTGGTTGTAAGAATTAAAGAGCAAGTCATGAAGTTAAAAGGCTTAACGCGTCATTACACATTAACTTAACCATCTTTATCCTGCAAGCAACCAAAACATAGAAGGGCCAGTACTAGTATAAGGCCGTTGTTTTAATATAAATGGGTTTTTTTGTTGTTGCACTATTCTTCTAACTTTGCACATTTCAGTGTGTGTTCACACCAAAAGCCGTGAAAACTGTTCCTCACTCTGCCGGACTTGTATGCAAACCTCCGAGAGCGTGAGATTGTGCAGAAGTGTGTGCTGCTGATAGCTAAGGAGAGGCTGCACGCTGTTGGATTTGAATAAATTTCAGGTCTGTGGGTAAAGATAACCAGCGAAGCCGATTCATAAATTACCCTGTACCCGTTTTCTTTGTGTCGTGCTGAGCAGGAGAACAGTGACAGGCTTTCTCTGCTGCAGTCAAATGTTGTTTGGAAGCCCCAAACCACATGCAAACCCCTCTTTGTCCTTTTACTGTAATCCAAACTCAACTTTTATCAGTGTAATATGTCTCGTATAAAACCTTCTCTGTACAATTACTATTACATAATCACTCTACTCATATTTTAGCTTTTGAAAGCATTTTCATGTGTGTACACAGTTCATTATTTTAGCAATTCTACACAAAAAAGTATAAGATCAAAATGAGGAAGAACGATTTTCAGTGTTAAAGAAGAGGTAGAATGTCTGGAACAGTAACATTTGGTGGCATTTGTTTAGAAAGTACAGTAGTCCCTCATTTTGTGGTTCGACTTTTGCGGACTCTCTTTAGCGGGTTTTCAACGTAAGATTGTACACGACACGTGATTGATGGAAGGCAACCAACCAGAGCATTGTGCTGAGGGGCGAACTGGCCATCGGGAGCACCGGGACATTTCTCGGTGGCCTGGCCTGCTCAGTGATCGCTGAGGGGCCCCCTCCTTTCTCTTTCTGAGGCTGTCTGTCACAACAGACACACAACAGATGGGCATACAACCTGATGTGTGTCTCTGCTCTGCTGCGACAGGCAGCCTCGGAAAAAGAAAGTGTGTGTGTGTGGGGGGTGTTTCTGCCTTATACCTGAGTGAGCTGCACAAGCTGTATGGATTATTATAATTTTTTTTTATTTAAAATTATCAAGCGCGACCCGAACTGAGCCTTTAGTCCCCCTCGGTGATCACTGAGCGGGCCAGGCCACCGGGAAATGTCCCGGTGCTCCTGGCCAGCCCGCTCCCAGGATTAGCTCAGTAACCGTAGCATCAGTCTGTTTGCTCTCTTTCGCTGTGCTCTTTTAGAGCGTTTAAAGTTTAGAACATTAAGAACGTTTCAAGAGTGTGGGAAGTTTTTATAAAACCTTCAAATATATATAAACACTTAAATAAGTGTAACGCTCCTACTTCGCAGATTTTCACTTATCGCGGGGGTGTCTGTATCACCCCTGCGATAAGTGAGACTACTCTATTTAATCTGTACTCTGAGAAAATGCATATCTCCTTATCAAGTCGTCGTAAATACCTTCATCAAGTTGTGCAAGTCATCCGTCCTCATCCTCAGTGAATTCATGAGAAAAGAGATGGACTGAGTTTAGAAACTCAACCATTGAGCACCAGCTCATTCTGGTTTTATTGATTCATTGTTTATTGTTCTTTTAACTAGCTCGGATCAGAGCCTGAATAAAAGCGGTGACCCAAGCTACAAGTGTTCAGCAGGATGGATCAGTGGTTAGCACTTCCTCCTCACAGCAAGAAGGTCCTGGGTTCAATCCTGGGGTTGGGCCTGAGTTCCTTCTATGACGTTTGTGTGTATTCCTCATGTTTGCGTGGGTTTCCTGTGAGTACTCTGGGTTCCTCCCCGCAGTCCAGTAACCTGGCGTCAGGCGACCTTCAGGCCCGGGCCTCTCTTGCTAAAGATCTGTGATCTCAGGGAATGTGCCTTCAGCAGAACTTCGTTCTTCATCCAATTCTCCCCCGCTTCCTTTTTATGAATTTGCTTTTAAATAACACATTTATACACATTTTCTCAAAGAGTTTTCAAGTTAACCTAATGTTTTCCCTTCACAGAGCAGCCGTGTACAGATATATTCATGTTTTTGATTCATTAATGGTCAGAAAATGTTTGTTTTTCTAACAAAATTAGGTTTTAAAGGGCTTAGATACGTCAGCAACTTTTGCTGCATCAATCATGTTTACCTTAAATTTTAAGGCTAACCTTAAATGTACATAACCTCCATGTTTTTGTCGATGCATCTGTCTTTTTTGTGGTTCTAAAACATGTTTTTCTTTTTGTCTGGAGAACTGTAGAGTAGCTCAAGTGTAGTGTAATTTTAATGTGTGCTCATTTGTTTAATGGTGTTTAGAGGTTTGTGTTGAACTCATGAGTTATTTATGGCTATACAAACATTTGGCTTCAGAAAAAGTCCAGTAAAGATTTGTTTACCTTGAAACTTCTTCTAAACTATGTACCCATCCGCAGACGTCACTACAGCTATACGTGATGATTCTAGCTTAATTTTGGTGATGGGAGATTTTAACGTTTGACTTAAAGAGCTTTGCTTCTTGTATTGTTTTGATGGGATTAAACGTGCACTGAGTGGGTTTTAGCATGTTTGCATGTTCAGTTTGTACAATCTTTAAAGCATGTTTCAGCCCATAATTCACTTGATTTTACCAGAAAATTATGTTAAATTTTTATCTGCGTGTCAAATTTAAACCAAGTTTGAATCCCTGAGTACTTCCAAACTCTGTTAATGAAATTAATCTTGACAGAAAATATCTAAAGATTAGCTCACATTACATCGTTTGTAACTTAACATATATATATATATATATATATATATTTTTATTTTTTTTCAGGGTCCTAAAAGGATAACGGCTAAGAAGGAGTTAAAGGAGAAGAGGGAGAGCATCGAGGAGAGCAAGGAGAACCTGAAAGCCAAGTCGGACGACTCGGGAGAGGAGAAGAACGGGGACGACGACTCCCAGAAAAACGGGTCGAAGAAAAAAGGTGACTTTCTAAAAGACGGCGACCGTTTGGATGCTCCAAAACATGAGCGAGACTTGGTGTTGAGGAAAATGACCAAACGGTTTCTGCTTGTTGAAAATCCCAAACCGTGAATGTTAAGACGAACAAATCAGGCGTGAACCTTAAACTGGCCTGAGATGGTTTTAACTGCAGCGTAGTTTTTAAAGAAGCAGATTTGGCAACATCTGCAGGTTTGCTCAATAAATTTAACTTTTACAAGAACCACATTTTAAACTAGTTTAGACTTTATTTATTTTAGGTTGGAATGATTACACAACTTAAAGCTTGAGTGACGGATAATTCAATTCATTTTATTTATAAAGCACCAAGTCACAACAGAAGTCGTCTCAGGGCACTGAACAGAAACATTCATATATAAAAAATAAGTTAATAACATTATTTATCTGAGGATCAGACTGCTTTAAGTTCAACTTCATCACCGAACCTTCATCTTGAGCAACATGAAGGCGACAGTGGAAAGGAAAAACTCCCTCATGAGGAAGCAACCTTTAGTAGAACCGGACTCAGGACAAGCGGCCATCTGCTTCGACCGACTGGGTTTGAGAGGAACAGATACACAATGGCAGGTCAAGAATCACATGTTAAGAAAGAAATATTATCAAATGAAAACTTTAATTTTAACAATTAGTTTAAGGAAATGAGGCCAATTTGTCCTCCAGTAGTCCACGCCTATAGCAGCATAACAAGCCAACCCTAACTATAGGATTTATCGAAAAGGAAAGTCTTAATCCCAGTCTTAAAACTGGACAATGTGTCAGCCTCACAGACAGAAACTGGAAGTTGGTTCCACAAGAGAGGAGCCTGATAACCGAAAGATCTTCCTCCCATTCTGCTTTTGGAAACTCTAGGAAACACAAGTAAGCCTGCAGTCTGAGAGTGAAGTGCTCTGTTAGGAAAATATGGAACAATAAAATCTCAAATATAAGATGGAGCTAGGTTGTTGAGGGCTTTGTAGGTTAGAAGTAAGATTTTGAATTCAGTTCTGGATTTGACTGGGAGCCAATGGAGAGAAGCTAAAACTGGAGAGATCATCTCTCCCACTAACTCCAGTTAAGACTCTGGCAGCAGCATTTTGGATTAACTGGAGACTTTAAAGAAGTGTTTGGACACACAGATGACAAACCATTGCAATAGTCCAGTCTAGACGTGACAAATGCATGAACCAGTTTCTTCATTTTTAGATGAGATGTTTCTAATTTTAACAATATTACACAGGTGGAAGAAGGCGGTTAACCTGCTAATATTTGGTTAAATGTTTCTTATCAAGTTGCACCTCAACCAAAGGTTTTTTGTATATCATCCACGAGCTTCGGGCTCGATTCTCTGTGGATGTTTGACCACTCGTGGCAGAACTGGTCCAGCTGATCAGTGTTTTAGGAACTCTGTTCCAGAAGCTTAACATTCCCCTGTTTTATCCAATCGGAAACCGGTTCTGATGTTAAAAGAATTTGGGGATCCATCTCCATAAACGTTTTGTCAACTTTCTGCATGACTTCCATAGCATGATGCTACCACCGCCGTGCTGGAACAGTGTTCTTGGGTCTTAAAGCCACGCCTACTTGTTGTGAATTTAACTTAAAATCCCGGTCTTTGTCTCATCTGACCATGAAACTTCTCTGCAGAGGACGGTTGTCTCGTCCATGTAGGCAGCTACAGATGGAGCAGGAGCTTCTCTCGGTCTGTGCTCATGTAGAACTGGCTTCTCTGTGGACCGTGATCCTGGGGATCCACCAGCTCATGGCAGGTTTCAGCCGTGGTACGGTGGGTTCAACTTTCTGCACAACTCTGTGTGGATTAGAGAAAATTCACAATAAATTTAAACTTGTGCATCCGATTATTGTTTTAAAATAATTGAAGTTGTATAATCATCCTATCCTGGAGAAAAACCGTTAAATTAAATAATTAACTGACGCCCTGAAACGTGTTTATATGCATAGACTGATGACGCAACATACGTATTTAGTCTTTTCATGCCAGCTTTGCATCGGTTGTCTTTTTAAAACAGCAGGGTAGAGCTGCAGATGAGTCAGGTATAAATTTCAGGTGTTCTTTGAGCTTTTTGTCGTTTCTTTGACTCAACCAAAAAAACTTTACAACTCTGATTTTAGGATTAATGCAAAGATGTTATAAGCAGTTCTTGCAAAATAATGAACTAATTTTCCATGTTTGCGTTGTTAAAATGGTAAAATGATTTAAAAATATCTGCATAAACCTTTACTCAGTGGGCTCAGTGTTAATTGAGGATTCATCTCCTCCACTTGGAAGCTTTTTTATTTTTAATTGTGATTGTAAGATTGCATTTTTGCCAACTCATTTCCCTCTTGGAGGAAGCTCCCTCTCAAAGCGACCAGTCATCCTGTAAAGCAGCAGATCACTGATGCTGCCTGTTGTTCAGCAGAGGTACTGCAGGAGACGGTCCTGTTTGTAAAATGTAAGTTGCACATTAACCTCATCATCCATTAAAGCAGTCCACCGTCCAGTGCTGCCAAAAATGTTGTTGCTGCTAAAAGTGCAGAAAGCTGCTCGTCTGCAACGTGAGCCACGTCACCGTTAGAAGTTTGGTTTAGAAAAGGAAAACTGAAACTTTTTTTTTTGTTAGCAAAGATCATTAGTTCTTACTGGTTAGATGAAACAAGAAACTGATAAAGAACAGCTGACTGGTCTGCACATTAAACTACAGATATAATTACAGGTGTTAAGAGTTGTATTTAAATGTCACTTTCTGTATTTTGTAATCCACACCTCAACAAATAAAATAAAACCATTTTAAAATAATTTCTTTGATTTACAAATTGGTTTAGCTAAACCTTCAAAATTATTAAATATAGCTTTTATTCTAAATGTAGCTGGTGGCTTTCAACACATTTCTCTGGTCTTTAATTATTACATTTGATGGAAACTGGTGGTTCAGTTGGTAGAACTGTTGCCTCTCAGCGAGAAGGTCGACGGATCGAATCCCAGCCCGGGACTTTTCTGGATGGAATTTGCATGGTCTCTCATGATTTGCATGTGTGGGTTTTCTCCAGGTACTCCAGTTTCCTCCCACAGACCAAAAACATGCATGTTAGGCTGATTGGTAACTCTAAATTGTCTCTAGATGTGAGTGAGAGAGTGAATGGTTGTTTGTCTCGTTTGTCTCTATGTGTCCCTGTGATGGACTTGAGACCTGTCCAGGGTGTCCCCTGCCTCTCGCACAGTGATTGCTGGACACGGACATCAGTGACCCCCGAGACCCAAAAAGGAAGAAGCGAGTAAAGATGTTGGATGAATGGACGGATGGTTTGTTGTTTGGTTGAATGGATAGATGGATTGATGGTTGGTTGGTTGGTTGGTTGGTTGGTTGGTTGGATGATTTAATTGATGGGTGGATGGATAATTGGTTGGTTGGTTTGTTAGTTGGTTGAATGGTTGGTTTGTTGGTTGAATTGATGGTTGGTTGGATGGCTAGATTGTTGGTTGAGTTGGCTGAATGGTTGGTTGGTTAGTTGGTTGGATTGATGGTTGGTTGGTTGGTTGATTGGTTTATTGGTTGGATGGATGATTGGTTGGTTAGTTGGTTGAATGGTTGGTTGGTTGG